TGCCCGCCCTTGAGCATCCCCAGACCCCTCCCGGCCCCCCCGGGCACAGCCCCGACCCCGCTCCCGCCAACCCCGGACCCGCCGGAGCCCGCACGGGGCCGGTCCAACCCCGCAGGCAGCACCAGCGCTGCCCCCCGGCTGCTCCAGCCCCCCCAGAGCCCCTCACCAGCCGCCCAGCCGGTTTTACCTCCTTCAGAGAGACACAGACAGCCCGCAGTGGGGGTTATTCCAGCCGGGTTGATTTTAACGCACATTTGAAAGCCCCGGGCTGCTGTGCGGGGTTTGGGCACGGGGCTGCCTTAGGGAACAGCCCCTCACGGGGGTCACCCAGCCATGCAGACCCCTGGCCCTTGCAGTGCCTGCTCCCCCCTGGCATCCCCCTGCCCTGCTTTCAACGGCTCCACAACATCCCTCTGCGCTCAAAGGATTAAGGAACTAGTCGTTTACCTTCAGTAGCTGCAGCTTGGCCTCGAGCTCCATTTTCCTCAGAAACGTGGCCCCGTTGATGGTCTCTAACCTGTGGAGAGCAGGACATGGCAGCACCCAGGCAGACTGGGTGCCCAGCACTGCCTGCCTGGGGGCCACAGCCACCCCCGGGGCAGCACAGGAGCTTCCCTGTCCCTCAGTGAGAGGCACTGTTCAGCCAAAAACCAGCTGAGGGAGGGATGCCTACCTTAAATAGTTCCCTGAAGACTTTATCAAGTCCACGATTTGCTTGTGACTGAAGCCATCGGTGTTCACCCCGTTGATGCTGGCCAGGATATCACCTGTTGGATACAGGAGGAGGGGGCTGAGCACCTGCAGCACACACACCCCTCCCATGTCACCTACAGTAAAAACTCATCCAGAGAAAAGCAAAAGAAGGCCACCCCCAGCAAGGAAAAACCAGGAGCAGTTACCCATCTGAAGGCCAGAAAGGTGGGCAGGACTTTCTTCCTGAACTTTGCAGACACAAGTGCAGACCTCCAGGGAACAGTCATTTTCGTGTGGAAACCTAATGGTCTGTCAGAACCAAAGGGACAGTGTTACCAACGTTAAAGCCATGAAAACAGTTTGAAAGCTAAGGGTCTTTTCCCACGTTTTTTAAAAAGAGAAGGCTGGGATGAGCAGAGCACATTACCATACAAGCCAGGACTTTGTTCTTGGCTTGCACATTAAAATGTACAATAAGTAATTCTAAGTATAAGCCCCTCGTGTGGTTAGCAGTGCTGACGTGGGTTTAGAGAAGTGCAAAACTAGGTGGTGCCCCCTGACCAGATCTTGTGATGACAGGAAATGTCTTCTTGGGTACGTGCAAACACCAGTAGTTACCCACATCTTCCTACCAAGGTTTAAGACTGAAACTGAACTTCCTGAAAACCTGCCACAGCCACACCTAACCCAGATACCAAAAGTCGTGTCAGGTCCTCGAGTTTCTCAGTCAGGAGGAGCACACAGGGATGAGGATGGGGTGAAGTAAGAGCTGATCTGGCCCGGTGACACCAATGCCATGATTTCAGCCAGCAGCAGAACAACAGTAAAACCTTTGGCTAAAGTAAGAGCAGCAAGTGGCCATCTTGAGAGCTGCACGGTGTCCACGTCACCCCCGGGCTCTGGTCTGCGAGTGGGAAGTAGGAAAAGCAGCAGTAACATGCAATAAACTCTGGAGTTCAGCTATCCCTGCAGTACCCATGAGCTCCCTGCAGGTGGTAGACCTCGAGTTTCACATAATCTTGCTCTAGTTTGCCTAAATTCCACTTGTAGGGATGAAATCACAGCTTCTAAGTAGTGACTTATCACAGCATCATTATCATTCTGCTTGGAAAAGACCTTCAAGATCATCGAGTCCAACCACTAAGTGCTCAGTATCAGAGTGATGGTGCCTTCCATAGCCTGGACTTTCTAGTGAAGTGCTCAAGCTCAGTGTATGTTCAGAAAGAAAATATGCCAAGAACAATTATTTTTAATGAGAATGTCACAGAATGAAGATCTGTCCTGACAATTTCTATAAAAGCCCAGTAATTGACTCAATTCTCCTCCCTCCTGAAAGCTCTGCACTGTTGACCAGCTGAGCACTGCCCTGCTCCTTAGTCACTGAGCCAAACCTGAAGCTGAGCTTTCCCAATTATGCTAATTCCACTGCCAATGCCGTTTTCCCGTGGTGCAGGGGTAGAGGGCAGTGCTGGAAGATGCCCTGTGCCACAGCAGAGGGGTCACCTGGGGGTCTGGGGGCTGCCCACACTGGCTCTTGGGGCTGAGCTCCACGGCCTGGCCCCAGCCCCAACCCCACACCACAGCCACCTCTTCCTGGGACTATTCAGTATTTATAACCAGGATCTTAGCAGGATACTGACCCAAGAGTTACCTTTCTCACAAAAATCCACAGAGCAAACATATCCCATCAGCAGGACTGTACCCCTGGCAAGATTCTGATTTTCCTGTTCAATGGTTTACTGGCTTCTACATCTAACAGAATTTCTTCCTCTGTGATTTAGACCCCAATCAGTCATGATTAGCAGTCATTTATTAAAAGCTGCACATCTACCTCAGAAATACATCTGTCTCTGTGTTAGAGGTAGGAACATGCTGGCATAAGGTAGTTTTTGGAGAGAAAGGGGGTTTTATCTCCTTTTATATAAAAACATTCTCATATACAATTCTCCCCAAAAATATTCACTTGTGGAGGTAAGAAGGCACATCTGGGTTTGGATGAGATTTCTCCTACATTCAACACCCTGACTTGTGAGAAGGCCAGAAATTCTCATCCATGACCTTCACTGTGAGAAAATCCTTGGAAGCACATCCTATTTCCATACCATTACTGTGAGGTCTCCAAATTTCACGAGCAGCTGACAGATTTCTTTCTCTGCCCCATGCTGCCTTAACCTAATTTGGAGGATGTGACTCTCAAGAGATTGCATCGTATTTTATTTTTAAATGAATCAACTCGCCATTTAAGTCTTACCTGGATTTCAAACCCAAAGGTCTCTTTATCTTCTTTCAAAATAGCCACCAAGTGTCTGCAAGAACACACAGAGCTCCATGTGAGTGCTGGGGTGCTGTGCACCCTCTGTGTCTAACCGTAACCAGTCGTGCTCCTGTGCTCACCCCTCCTGCAGCAGCAGGGTCTCAGCCTCCCCCAGGCACTGCTGCAGTGCTGCTGCTTGCTCTGTCCACCCTCAGGCTCAATGCCACAATTTTGCCCACCCCTCCCAGTGTGGCTGGGGACCACACTCAGCCTCCCATCTTGCCCCCAAGGGCTGCCCCAGGGGAAGATTCCCAGGAGACAGGTTTTATGCAGAATAAGTAAAGAACGGTGATCAGAGAATGATCTCTTCATACCTGTGAGGTCTGGAGGAGTTGGCAGAGCAGCCGGATCCAGAGCTGGAGAAGGCAAGCTAAACCAGAATTGGGAGAAGCAAAGGGTCAGGAGGTTCATGGTTCTTTGAGTTCCATGGTTAAAATCAGCAGTTTAGAGAAAAACTGAAGCAGCTGGTGGCATCCCACCCTGGGCTTGCACCACCAGAGCCCCTCCCTCAGCCAAGTAAGGATTAAAACTTTCAGAAAGCAAGGAAATGCCGTTAGGTCCGTGGGGCCAAACAACTCATCATCACATTCAAAGCCACCTCGTACACCCGGGTGGTGACCTCAGCTGGGCACAGGCCAAGAGCAACAGCCCCCAGGCACACAGACCACTCCCTGCACAGCCTGGAAAGGGGCTCCCTCCTGCCAAAGAAGTCTTCCTCCTCCACCCTACAGCTCCTCTCCAAGTAGAGGAATTCAGCTGAGTGACAGACCCCATGGCAGCACCCTGGGGGATGCTGGAAGACGCAGCACCAGCCGGTGTGAGGCAGGGCAGAACCCGCCCGGGCAGGCTGCTGGAGGAGTTCCTGGCTGGTTTTATTATGCTGGAAATTAAGCCCTGGAAAACTGGCTGTATCTCAGCTCTTTCATTTTTCCAAACATAAAATTTAATCCCAAATAAAAAAGGCTTTTCCAAAATTAAAACAAAACAAAACAAAACAAAACGTGGGTATTCTTAGCACATCTTGGTATTTTTCCAGCTGCTCACCTCCACAAAACATCTCAGCATCCTTGCTGGGAGACAGCAGTGTAGAGAGACTGTCCCAGCTTTATTTGGAACACTGGCCTCTCTCTAGCCCTCTACTGCAATGAACCAAACTGAAGAGCTGAGCCACCACCAACCAATATCCAATGAAGCAACACAAGGCTTTGTTTTTGAGCAGGGTGATAATTTGACGACTTCACAATTACCTTCCAGAAACTGAGAACAAATGGAAAAATTCATATTGCAGCCTAAGAAACGTTTCCCAACAGGGCAGGGAACACTTCCCAAATGCTGCTGGAGGTGTAATGTCTGAGGAGAGCAGAAATGGGAAAGACAAGAGGAACAACCATTCAGGGAAAAAACCTGCACCTGACAAAGCACTGGAGATGGACCTCCCACTGGTCCTCCCAGTGCCCACAGGCCTCCTGCCCTAATTTGCCTAATAAAACAAAACAAAACAATGCTCCATGGCAGCTCTGCATTTTCAGATAAGAGAAGGAATATTCCTTCCTTGTGGATTGCCCTGTGTTGTTGCAGTGCACTTCTCCAACAGCCAGGACATTTCAAAATGCTAAACCAGGTGAGGGTCCAAGGTTTTGGAGACCAGGGAGTGCCACCATTTCCATTAATGTGGGAACTATTGTCTAGATGGTGCCCACATCACGTCCCTGTTTTGCCAAGACTGCATCTTTCTTCTGTACCTTTCCCCTCAAAGAGCCTGTGGGCATTTATAAACTTTAGGGCTATCAGAGCAGGCAGAAAGCACCTGTAAATTAATATTATTGCAGAGCAGCTTTTTGTGCAGCGTCTTGTGGTGCCTGCCAGGCATCCCTGAGCTGGTGCTGGCATGGCCACTGTCCCCAGCAGCCACAGTCACTGTGCCAGGCTAGTGAGCCCTGAGCCTCAGGAGCCCTCTGGAAAATGCCCGGATCCGTGTAAAACATTGATTCTCCCCATAAAAGCCACCCACAGACAAGGAGCTACGTTATCACTACAATGTTTGTAGAGTTTAGCCAAACGTGTCAGGCTTCAGCCGTATGAGAAGGGTGGCACAGGATGGCACCTGCAGAAAGACCCTGCTTTACCCCCGTGCCCTTCCCGGGGAGGGGAGGGAGGGGGCAGAGGCACAGCCCCGCTCTGGGCAGCTCGTCCCGGCTGCCGGGCCCCGCCACACACCGCTGCTGGGGACACGCAGTGCCCAGGTGCCCTCACACCTTGTGCCATGAGGAATTCCTCCCCAGCAGAAGGGCCAAGCCCTCGGCCCCGGCCGCAGCTGCCACGCAGGGGCTGCTCCATCGCCTTCCCAGGGCTCTCCTTTCCCTCCCCACACACGGACAAGGACTAAGCGCCTGTCTGTCCCTGCACAAAGCAAAGCCTGAAGCGCACAGACCCCCCGGTGCGCTGCTCAGACTTTCAGGTTGTTATGGGTCTCAAACTTTTCCTGTTCACGCTCCTTCCTACTCGGCAGAAGGACCAGGGCGGGAGTTGCTCAGCAGGGCCACGGCAGCAGCAAGGGACGGTGCTCACCGGCTCCTCCGGGAGAAGGCAGAGAACAGCAGGACCGCGCACGCTGTGCTGTGCTCGGGGGGGCCCGGGCAAGGGGGG